TATTCTTCCATTCTTGTTATTCTTAGCACAGAATTTTACCTCCTACTATCACATGAAGTCCAACAAAATGTCTGCAAGTTTACTGCATGTAAAAACATATATTTTTTCCTCATTACAAAATATCTAAGCAAAGGGCTCCAGTTATGTTCCCTTTTCTGTATTTTCAACTTCTTCACTAAATAATCAATATTAATATCTAAGTGTGCTTGTATTGCTCTGCTCTTAATAAAGTATAGCTCCTATTCTTTCTCCACTTTGCCATCCAACTGTCTCCGTTTCTCACTTCTCTTTCATCATAAAACCTCTAGAAGAAATACCTATTGGGACAGAGTGTCACTGGATATTCATTCTTTTTGTCTTCCTTAATATAGATTTGAGACACTAACACCAAATAAGGGGACTGACAATTAAGTTCGTGAACTTGCCATCGTCTGCGTATGTTGGCAGCACTGTACGAACAATTCAGTAAGGTTTCATAACCTTGACAAATCAGTATCTCACAGCTGTGTTCATGTTGACATGTGGTGGTGTCTTGCAGAGTGGCGATTGCTATCGTTGTTGCCTGTTTTTGTGTTCCATCAGGAGAATGTCAGAGCTTGAATTAGAGTGATGAACAAACACTTTAAGTTTCTTGTTAAACTTGGGAAGAGTGGAACTGAAATCAGGGACACATTAGTTCAAGTTTATAGGGATAATGGCATGAAGAAAACAATAGTGTACAAATTGGTTAAACACTTTTCTGAGGGGACAGAAAGCATCATTGATGAAGAGAGGTCAGAATGGCCAATAATGAGCAGAACTGACCAAAAAACATTGTAAAAATTCACTGCATTGGCATCAAAATCGTCGGCTGACTGTGAGATGCAATAGCAGACCAAATACATATCGATAGAAACACAGTTAGGAAAATCTCAACTGAAAATCTTGACATGGGAAAGTTGTGTGCACAAATGGTCCCAAAGGAACTCTTACATGAAAACAAGTCACCAGCTCACACAGCCCTGTCTGTGAGGAATTTTTTTTTTAATCCAGTAAACAAATAACTGTATCGGAATACCCTCCCTACTCACCTGATCTGGCCCCAATTATTTTTTTCTTTATCTAAAGATAAAGGAAGTATTGAAAGGAAGACATTTTGATGATATTCAGGACATCGAGGGTAATAAGACAACAGTTCTGATGCCAGACAGAGTTACAAAATTGCTTTGATGGGTGGACTAGACCCTGGTATCAGTGCATAGCTTCCCAAGAAGAATACTTCGAAGGTGATCGTGGTGATATTTACCAATGAGGTATGCAGTACATTTTCTAGGATGAGTTCACAAACCTAATTTGTTAGACTCATATACATCTTTGCAAGTAGGATATCCTGGGAATCGTGTGTGCCATCACTTGGTAATATCTTTTCATTGAGATAGTTCTTTCTTATCTGGTCTCTCTTTCCTTCCTTCTGGATGGAATGTGGACAATATGATTGGAGTTCTAATATCCAACTTATATGATAATATGACTTTGACAATGGAAACTACTGATGGTGGAACAAGATAGAAAACCGAATTTCTAATACTTTGGTGTCCCACCAACTCTTAACTATCTCCAATGTCATAATCTGCAAGAGAAATAAAACTTCAATCTTGTTTAAGGTGTGACTACTTTGGGTTTTTCTGTTATTTGCAGTCATTTCTAACACTAACTCATATGTTTAAATGCACTTTGTCCAAATTCTTACCGAATGTCACTCTTCAAGCTATTCAAGTCTGGCTTTCACATATCACTCAACTGATACTGTCCTCACGGAAGTCACCAATGACATATCATTATACCTTCAATACTATTTGACACTAGTAATCATTCTTTCCTATTTTTCTAATTTTTCTATTCCTCTAGTCCAACACTTCCCAATATTTTTTCACATCACAGAACATATAGAAAATGATATTTTTGAAGTATATTGGGGTAATAGACAAATCTGCTTATAGTTAAAGGTAACCCGCTTGAAGGGTGGCTCTGACCACCCTAGGCCCCATACTTTCTGGAGGTATAAAGGATCAATGCTTCAATAAAAAAAGTAACCAACTGACAGCATCCTATTGTGCTGTGGTACATCTTTTGGGTAGTTCAGTTCTTAACACTTCAGCCTGTTTATTTTGTTGTTGTCATCTTGTTTTATTTTTGTAATGCTTCTTCCTTAAACATTTCAGAAATGTGGTGTTTGAGAATTCTCTTGTAGTCTTTCATGTGAAGGCTATTTCATGTACTCCTATGGCTTTAATTAAATTTATCTATGATAATGACTCTCAATCTTACATACATATCTCATTTCTTTTTCTTGAGCATCATACAGAAGAAATTCAGTCTCATACAGAACTTCATCTGTTAGAAGTCTTCAGACACTCAAATTAAATAACCTTTACCCCAAAATACCTGTCTTCCTCTTCGAAACTTAATAAGTGCCACCAGCATGCCCTCGGTTGCTCAAACTACAGTTCTCAAGAGTCATCTTTGACACTTCATTTTCTCTCCCTTTTATATCCCATACCAAGTAAATCAAAGTAAGTACTTTTAATTCTGTTTAATTCTTTCAGAACAGCCAGGTCTACTTAGGAAAAAAAATTATGACTTGTAGTTAAATCAGTCAGCATGCAAATAACACTTGCTTCGAAGCCTTCATCCTCAATGGAGATAACACTGCCCCCAAAGAGGCAAAATTTGTTGGTTGTTTAACAAGGAAAATATCTTACATTTGTATGTATAAATAGATATGCATACAGTATTCAAACAGATGTGCAATATATTTGTGGCTAATTGACAGTTCTGGTCTAAGCACCTTATTATTCTTTATCCAATTTTTTCCTCACAATAAACCTATGAAATGGGTATTATTTTATTTTCACAGATAAGAAAATATCCTCAGAGAGGTCAAGTAATTCAACATATCTATAAGGTGACACAAGAATTTGAGTTCTATAAATGCAGAGGTATTGTCTGAATAGTTCATTGCTCTATACTCAGTGTCTAGAATAGTGCCTGGCATTGAGAGGGTAGCCCAATAATATCTGTTAAATGAATGAATTTTTGTCAGTTAGAAATAAGTGAAGAAGTCCAAAATCTCAAAGTGTGTTAGATTTTACACCCTGTTTTCATAATCACTGTGTTATTAAAGGTGTTCAATATATGCTTTAGAAAGCATTGATGGATAGGCAGGTAGATACACAGATATTATGGAGAGACTGCAAGAAAAGAATGAGGGAAAAAAGTAGACAGAATCTGATTTTTCTTTATGTAAGAGGGTGAAAATTAAATACTCAAATAAGCCATAAAGTATAACTAAATGCAAGGTATCTGATAGAGGTTTCATTAGCAAAAACATAATATGTGTTCTGGTGCTTCTCCCATGCAGTCAGCTTATGCATTTTTTAATTTCTAGGAGTCAAACTTATTTGCCACACTGCTTACAGAACCAGCCCGGGTTTGTAATGTTTATGAAAAACAATTGAAATCTAGATAAGAAATCAGTTACTAGAACTTTTTATTAAAAGAAAAGGTAGCAGAATAATAATTAACAAAAGTATACTATATAGAACCATAATCCCATAAGAAATGTATTCATACTCAATGTCATTAAATTAGCAGATTGCTGTTAGTAAATTTCTACAATAAGAAATTTTTTCTTTTAATTTGCTTCTGAATATAAAGCAATAAATATGATTATCTTAAAATTAGTAATCTCAGATGAGTGTGGACTGCATTTAAGTAAGTTTAATATAATTATGAACTTCAACTTCATGTGGAATGCTGACTTAAACACTTTAAACTCTAGGTCCTTGAGAAAGGGCTCTAACCTCCGAGAGTCAAAGTTCTGAAGGGATTTTACCCTTCAGACACTTCTCTAATAAGGGATATAAGAAGTATTTTTAAAATATACATAAGCACCTAGCATAGTTCCTGGAGTAGTATACACAGCACGTAGCAGATCCTACATAACATCAAGTAGTACTCAGTTTCCGGTTTCTTGTTAAAGAAACACAGGCAACTTCTCTTAAACTCAAATTCAATGATTAAACTTTCTTCCTATGAACACTCACACTGAGACTTCAATTAAAAAAACAAGATGAGGTAAATATGGAATGCATTTTAGTCTTAACCTGCACGATACTGATGTTATCTTAGGTCCTGGTTTACCAGCGTTGTGTATATAAAACAAAGCATCTTATTTATATTTGGTTTTCCTATGAGTTGAGCAAGTTTCTTTTTTATGAAAATGCATATATATATTATATTATAAAGTTATATTTGCATTACTTATTTAAGCCGTGTCTACATGGTCTATATCGCAATCATGGATAAATATAGAAAACGAAGAATTATTGAAGTAGATCTGCATTATATTAGTTAAAGCACAATTTGAGCTTCAAAATTAAAGCTTTTAGAGAATTTGTTTCTGAACCACAAGAAACTAACAAAAAATTATGGGAACACTGTAGTTCACCTATGGCTAGTACAATATTAGTTACTTGCGAGTATCAAAATTCATTTTACCTCAGGCCTTAGAATAAGATGTATGTGATGTGATGTGTGTGCGTGTGTGCGTGTGCGTGCGTGCGTGCGTGTGTGTGTGTGTGTGTGTGTGTGTGTGTGTAAGAAAGACTTTGGAACCAGATAGACCTTGATGTAAATATCAGCTCTGCTATTAACGCATTAATTAACAAGTTAACAAGTTACTTGACTTAGTTTCTTTACCTCTCAAATGGAAACAGAAAGCCTGGCTCAGAGTTTTTGTAAAAATTAAAATTGAGATAATTCATGCAATGAGTTTATAACTAAGCAAAGGCATAAAAATTTTCTTATTTTATTTTTAATATCATTGAAATGTATCACTAGTTTCTAAAAACTGACCTGTGAAACAAAAACGCTATTTTCTACTAAATTAGAGTCAACTATATAACTACTAATGGCAAGAAATCACAAGTCCATATATACAGTAGTTTTAAAGAGCATACCATATCCCACTGTAGAAAGACCCAAGTGTTTCATTCTATTTTTCACAAGTTCAGCAAGCTCTTGTCTTTCTGACCTCCTGTAGAGGTTCAGTCGCTGCTGGGTTATTTTTTCAGCTGTTTTACCAGAGTGCTTGGGGCCTTTTCTGCTCAATCTTCGGGCCCACTGCATGCTCTTTCTTCGCAGCAAGGGGTGATCCGACTGGTCACTGGAAGTTGAGTTACGGTGGTTGCTGCGGTGATGCCCTTGTTCCTTAGTGTCTTTGGTGTCTTCCCACTCTTCTACACTGATAGAGATTTGGGACTTTAAAGGAAATGAATATTGTTGATTAGATATTTTAGGAATAATCATGGTCTGGAGTTGAAATAATATTCATTTGCTAATATCTTGGTATAGCTATATATCTATTCAGGAGTTTCCACAGAAAGAGCAAAATCAGATCCAAAAAAAGAGTTTTGAATCTAATTTTCTATTATTAAAAATATTATTAGAAAATATACCTTCTTGAATTTATATAATCAGATAAAATATCTGCATCCTCTAACTCAAGTTTTTATGAACAGATCAATTTTTTATGAGTAAGGGTTATATTGTCATAAATGACTACTATCATACAGTTGTTTGGAATATACAAAAAATACATATTTACAACCTTATTCAAATAAAATCCATGCAATGGGCTTTTCTAAATCTACTACAAGTATTTCACATTTAGTTTAAATAACTATTGCAATTGTTTTATTTTTGAAATTAATATTTTTTAAAGTTTTAAATATTATTGCTCTTTCTAAAGATGGCACCAAATGAACTTTATAAAATGTGAATTTATAAAATTCCCTTCTATGCCCCAAAAGCAAACAAAACTTACTGTTTAACTCATGCATTCATTATTCATTACATAAAATGCTTTTCCGATTAAAATATTAAAACATGTTCTAAAAACTGTTCTAAGTATTCTATGTGAAAAAATGTTGTAAATATTGTTTCACAAACAGATTGTAGAATCATAACCAAAAGTTAAACCAGGCCATTCTCCATAGGAGGGAAAAACAATGAACAAATTCACAAAGTCTATTTTGACTTACTCTTAGAACTAAATCTGATTTTTAAAGTAAGTTCTCCTTTGATTACAGGTCATTCATAAGTAAAAGCTTACTCTTTCAAAATTGTTGCTTTTCATACCATGAAGTCATATGAAATGTAAAACCCATCAAAGCAGAAAGTCTTACTCCCTAAAAACATGCACATGTGTACATGCAAATTAACAACTTCCTGAATTCAACTGTACTCAAAAGCAGCATTCTTGAATCTGCTAACTGTGTTTCCCTTCTATGGATGGAAGCTTTAAATATAGCTATAACATGCATGTATTGCTGGCTTTTAAAGAAATAGAATTTAAATTACCAATTTAAGAAAGGTCAGGAAGTAGATCCAATAAAATCCTTTAAAAGTGAATTTAAGTTATAGAGGCTCAGTCAATGTCTTACATACAGTTAGTTCCCAGTGGCAAGCTATGAAATTATCTCACACTTCAACCAAAAATTCAAATGCTCATTCACATCTCTGTTTCAAAACAGTACTGCATCAGAGTGATATTAAAAATCCTTTATTTAACCTTCATATTGTCATGATAAAAAAATTAGATTTAAAATTTTAAAAACCATATTTTATCTATGAGAACTTAAGTTGAAAGCATTAAACGTTTTTAATACCATGGTTTTGCAATAATGGATATCTTTATAAAATTTTAACTACTCTATTCTCATCCACTTGATAATAAACCAAAACTACACTTCTATGGAAGGAAATACTTAAACTCCTGAGTAATATCTACCATCAGGAAAAAAAATAAATATTTATTCAGTAGTTTATATGTACTTAGCAGCAACAATGAAAATATGTTAGCTCACTCATATTTAAACACTTGTTTGCAGAGTTTAATCAAAATCTTACATTTATTTGAAGAGATTTTTCTGTTCCTCTTTCTAGCCATAATTCCCTATGATTTCTTACAAATATGTATAAATAGTAATCTTGCCAAACCAAACACTCAAGATATTATGTTCATATAATGTCGCTTACAAGTCATGGAACCATAGCTTATAAGTACTTTCAGGGGAAGGGTGGGGATTCATTTCTCTTCCGTGAGGCTAGTCAGGCAGTTAGGCAGACATGAGTGGGTTAAACAGGAGGTTCCAGACGGTGGAGTCCATGAAAGAAGGAATGCCTCAGAAATGCCCAACTATCATTCGCTCCAGGATCACAACTGCCAACTTGTGGCTGATAATATCCTGGGAAGAGGGAGACCAAAACAAAGAAGGACCCGTGGTGCTGCAGAGGTGCTGTAATTGCCAATTTTTCTGCGGTACGTGTGCTCTTCCTGAGGTGGCAGTAAGGAGCAAGGGCGTAGTAGAGTATTTGTACTGATCACCAGCCCCACTCAAGGGCAGAAGGCCTTGTTTATGCAACATCCTTAAACCTGGGTGGAGACTATGCAAAATCAGGGAAGAGACCAGAGAGTAGGCCAAAAGGAAGGAAGTTAAGAAATACAAAAATAACTGCACAACAGCTGTCAGGACTCTCCCCATCCATTTTAAGCCACTCTGTCCTCTTATAGAGCACAATTTCTCTTGCCTAAATAAAGCTTCTCTTTGCTCTGTTGCTTGGTCTTTTCATTGAATTCTTTCCTCCAAGAAGAAAAAAACTTGGACATGTTGCTGAATTCCCAAGTCAGTAACACTTCCAAGTAGGAGATGAAGCATTGCTTTTGTGAATGCTTTTCCTCAGACATTATTAAAGTATACATCTACAACATGAACTGAAACATGCATATATACATTTGTCAAGCAATATTCAATACCTTATTCAACATTGTTTTGAATTCCTCAAGAAAGAAACTATCATAATTTATACATAAAAATCCATAATTCTTATGTCTTTGTTTTCAATAATTCCATAAAATTAGTAATAACATCTTTTTGTAAACTTCACATTAACTAAAGAAGAAAAGGATGAGAAGAATTTGGGAATTAATTTTTAAAAATCCAAACCCAGAACATGGATTGTTCTTTATGTTTGGAATTTGCATTCCCTTCTAACAATCTTTTGGTGTGATATAATAAATAGTACATTAAATTTTTGTGTATTAATATACACAAATTTGAGTGCTATTTCAAAATGTTTCCTAGCTCTGTCCCTACACAAGACTGCATAACTGTAACAAAAATGAAAATAATAATACCCATATTCTACCCCACAGAAATGTTATAAATTCATATAATATTAAAATATAGAGAAAACATTTGTCAGCTGTAAATTTCCACACATAATAATACTATTAATATATCCTGGTAATTTTTATTCACAATATTCATCAAGTTGGTAATAAATATTTGTTATTCTATTCCTTGAATATGAATGTGTATGTGTGTGTGTGTGTCTGTGTGTGTGTGTTAAAAATAAGTCAACTCATAAATATACTTTTGTGTGTCATTTCATCTTCTGTTTGTAACTCTCTTAAGTTTTAAACATGGCATCATAATCTAGTGGAAATAGTGTATTGCAGGGACATACAATAGTATCTATATAGGAGAATCTTTCCTAAACTTTTAGAGTGATAGAGTGGCTAAAGGTATGATTTTATCATCACAGAAACCTGAGCTTAAATAACAGTTCTACCACTTACCAGTTTATATTTTTAGATATGTAATTTAAACTCTCTAAGATTACTTCTCTTTTCTTCTCTGAAAAAGTCATCATATTATTATTTTTCCACCAAGCTTCTCTGAGGATGCAAAAATGATAATGTATGAAAAGTGCCTAAGATGATGTCAGTCTTAGAAAATGCTTAATTGATTATATTAATATTATGGCTTATGAACTTGTACTAAAGGACAGTAAAAGGAAATGAAAAGAAGTAATTATAAGGAGTATGTAAAAATTAAAAAATGAGTATGAAAAAGAGAGGCAATCACTAATATTTTTGGTGCAATTTTCTCTGTCACTATATTTCCAAAGAAATCAAGATGCTAAAAACAAATTCTTGAGGGTAAGTATTCCTTGGTTAAAGTGTGATGTACCTAAAGAGAACAAATTTTAAAATGAAAGTGAATGCTTTTTATACTGCACTGTTTCTACAACTTATTCTGCTTCTTTGAATAAGTAGAGGACTCTGACTTTTTAGTAATTTTGTCAGAGGTCTACTATAATCACAAATTGAAAAATCAGAATTTAATACTAATGTAGGTGAGAATGAAAAAAGATATTTGAGTCTTTCATATGAAATGCTTCTGAGAATATTTATAAACAAAAGAATGAAAAATTCATGCAGCTAATCCAACAATTTGCAAACAAGTTAAAAGTATCATTTTTCTAAAACATATTACTTCTAAAATACTGATAAAATTCAATTCGATTGAAAAGGCTAAAATATCTCTACAATAATAAGAATTGAACATGTAATACACGAGAAAGTGTTTCTTATGCCTAAAATAGCTTGCTTATATTATTGTTTTCAGAAAGGTAGAAAGTGTCAGATTCACCAAATATATCAAACACTCTTTTCCTCAATCAACACAGACACCCAAATGACTGAGTTCAATTTCTTCTCAATTTTTTATTGAACAATTATCCATGTAATAGGTTATTAAGCAATCTATAAAACAAAGTAGCATTTTAAAATAAATCAATTCACCCAGTAGTTTGAAAGTGAGTGCTTGAAATCTGGATTCATTACTCCTTTAAGAATGGTTTTATAGGTTTCATAATACTCTAAACTGTGCTAATTTATGATTAAAGACATTTGGAATTGTTGCTAAAAAAAAAAAAAGAAAATGAAATCATTGAAGATGCATTAGTTTAACAGTTTATAAGAGAATTCCTATGTAATGTGTAATGTTTTACATTAAAGAAAGGTTAAATGTTACGAATACTTGTGAGATCATCTAAATTTAAATACATATGTCCGATACATGTAGTGATCCTGGGTCTACTAGAAACTTCTTTATATTTAAGAAAATCTAAAAAAAGATACTTCACCAATTTCCAAAGGCTCAATTTAATATGTACGTGTAGTTTGTGATCTAAGCAGAGATAAAAGATAGTAAGTAATATTGTATTTCAGTGTATTTTCAACTTATTTTCAGAATCACAGAGATAATTACAGAATAAGCAATCTAATAGCCTAAAAAAAAGCTGAATTTGGAAACAAATAAGCTGTATTTTCAACCACATCAGGAGAATGTCTTATGACCCCAAGCAAATCACTAAGAGTCTTGTAAAATAGTGATAATAACACTGACCCT